AGTGCTTTTGAAGTCTTTTCCGATGTCCCTTTTCGCTCATTTTTAAGTGTCTTACAATGTTTGGAACAGGTTTTAAATGCTTGCAATTGTTAGCCCACCTCCTGAACCCTATGCAAACTTAATTTGGTGTTGTTCTGAGTCGTCCTTAATTTTTGGTGATTTTTTGTTTTCCCTATTTAAATGCATTGAACTGTCCATTCAATTGATTTAAATGGGGAAAATAAAAAAATCACCAAAAATTAATGAAGACTCAGAACAAAACCAAATTAAGTTTGCACATGTTTCACAAGGTGCACTATGGAATCCAAGCATTTAAAACAGGTTTCAAACATTTTAAGACACTTTTAAATGAGCAAAAAGGGACATCGTTAAGTGAAATTCCCCCACAGAGAACATCGTTAAACGATGGGGGAAATTCCTCAAAAAAACCCATCGCTGTGTGAATTCATCGTTGTATGAAGCAATCGTTGTGCGAGGCACCACTGTACTGTACTGTAGCACTTTAGCTGCTTGCCATACATTTTGTCTCTTTTTGATTTTATTTTCTGTCTTCATCCTTGTCTCAGGTTACTCTGTCCTATCTCTATCTGTTTTTAATTCTGTCTGTCTTGGTTCCGAGTTTCACATTTGAACCTGATGGAGTAAAGTCTAGACTGATTCATAAAGCAAAGGGCATGTACTGAAAGATCTGTGAAAAATAGTCAGCAATCTGCACTCATGTTTTATTGCCATTGCTGTTGTGGCTGCCTGTGATCCATGTTGATAATTTTGTACCAGAGATCAACTTGTTCACCAAAGCAGACATATTAGGAATGTAGCATGTAGATGAAATTTATAATGCCCCTTCTTTTTGTCCTGTCAGTGTATTTTTAGCCGCCCCGAGTAGACATGGTCTAGAGGTAAATAAATAAATAAATAAATAAATAAATAAATAAAATTTTTCTAATAAGTAAATATGCCTATTTAAAGTTTCTTGCTTGCAACATACTGTGGGGGGGTGTCATGGTTTGGATTTTTGGATGCAGACTTGCATTGTTTTGTCAACTGAAATTTGAAAGGGTTGGGTACAACACGCAAAATGGAGTTGCACTAAACTATGCACTTAAATCAGTGCTCTCTTAGCATCCTATACAGTGAGCTGCTTTACTGAAATTAATTTCAAGATATTGGTTTAAATGTACCTTGTACTAATGTAAAGAAGAAAAAATGGGATATAAACTGCAGGAACGTTGAAGCATTAATGTAGTGTTTGCATGTTTCTTTCCTTCCATCAGTGTCAAAATCCTTTTGGCTGGCCAGAAATTGGTTAAGAGGTTGATTATAAAATACTCTGGACTCCTTGGCTTTTTGTTACTACCAAGGGACAAATAACTCATTTACTTTTATTAGCTACTAAGTTTGTTTGACCTTAGCTGATTTCTTCAAAGTAGAATGGCTGAAATTATCAGCTTTTAAAAGTCACAACATTTATGTTGCAGATGTGTATTGTTGAAGTTCAGATAACTCAGAAACTAAGGGTTTAAAAAAGTTCATATCTGAAACAAAGCTAAAGTCTCAAGCCATTTTGGCCTGTACAGATGAGAAAAATACTTTGATTTCTGAAAGTTTATGGTATGTGGATCAACTTTGATTAATCAAACATGCATACATAATTCTGCAAATTAATGGTTGAATGATTAGTAAAGTTGTTATCAAGATGAAATTATAGAACCCTATTATGGAATAATTGAAGTTTAAAAAAATTGTATATATACAATCATGAAGACACAGGCACACACACACACAGAGGCACACGCACGCACGCACACAGACACACACAGACACAGACACACACACACACACACACACACACACCTTTCTCTTTCTCTCCGCCAAAATACCATATGCTCAGTTTATGGGAGATAAAATCCAACAAGGGGTACCTATACATTTTGAAGACCTGTGTCTTCATGAAGCCTTTTTTCCTTTGGGAAGACTTAATAGTAAAGAAGTCCACAATACTGGGCTTTAAGAGAGAAGGCACTGCTAGCCTCCCACCACACCCTCACAGAGGTGTTTTAAAGTTAGACTTGTTAAGGACAAGAAGGTTCATACAGTATGTTCAACAGTTTTTTCAGGAGTGTCATTAAGATAAAGGAAAGTTCAAGCCAAACAAACTTTTTGTTTTATCACATGGGCAGTTTGTGATCTGAATTATAGACAAGTTGTTCTAATGTTACCTTAAGAATATTTATTTTGCATTTTATTCCTTTTGCAAATACTGAACTGTTTCAGCCATGGCAGTTTTAAGACTACTGAAAGTGCATACTTGACTCAACTTATGAAATGAATCATGAGGTCAAGTATGTATAAGAAGTATTTTGGGATGCAATCCTTGCCAGTGGTCACACATCTTCCAGTAATATGCTGCAGGCCAGTGGTCAGAGTACACTGAACTGAAAGTTGTGGCTGAAATTACACTCTTCAGCTGAAATGTTGCTCTGACCAAAGGAGTCCTCTTGGCCCCCTTTGCAAAATACTTTGCTTTTTTCTGAGCAACCATAAAACTGTTTATTTTAACATATATAATAAAATTTTTACATTCTGAATAAATCTCTACAACTGTTAATTATGATGTCCTTCCAGCTCAAAGGAGTTCAGCAAGTATGTATTATACGGTAATAGTTTAGCAAACAAACACGACTAACTATAATAGTCATTTGTTTCTTTTGTAGGGGAGGGCTAGCAGAGAGATTGAATAGACTGCAGAACCGAGAGAGGGCTGCCATTAGCTTTTGGAGGCATCAGTGTGTTTCTGGTGATCAAACGCCTTCAGGTAAGAATCATATTAATTTTATTAATTAATTAGATGTATACCCCACCCATCTAGTGGCAAGCTTTACTCATAATGGAAACAAGGTTATTTAATCACTTTGAAAACTATTAAGGACAAAGTATATTACTACACTCTTACAGTTCTGTTATTTTAAACCAGTTGTTCCAAACCATTTTTTCACTCGTGTACCCCTTGGCAGTCCATTTCCATAAATTGTAAGTTTCATATTGGGCCTAGGAGTACTCTCCGCCCTCGCATCTTCAAGCCACTTCCTCATTGCCTCTAATAGTATGCATGAGTGTGCCAGCAAAGGGATTAAAATCTGTTAGGAGTTTGGTCCCATCAGACTGTCCTTGATAGGAAAGGAGCAGGCAGCACAATCCCCCAGGTTGGTGGCAGAACAAGAACAGATTTTGCCCTAGAACGAAAGCCTGGGCTCTCATGCAGTGGGTGAGGAGAGAAGAAAGAAACCAAGGGGTTTCTCATTGCTGAGGATATAAATAAGTAACTTATACTGTCGACAGATGTGCCTTTTTTCTGATTTCACTTTTTTAAACATACCCCTAAATGTCCTGGTTTATACATGTACTCCCAGTTGGGAATGACTATCTTAAATGAATATTGCTTATATTAAGTATATGTTGCTGTATAATCTGGTATAATTCTTTAAATGTTCTGCTGCTAAAAATACATGGCTGCGTTTTTATACTTTGCAGAAGTCTTATAGCCCAGTGGTTCTCAAATTTGGGTCCCCAGATGTTCTTGGACTGCAACTCCCAGAAATCCTGGCCAGCATAGCAAGTGGTGAAGGCTTCTGGGAATTGCAGTCCAAGGACATCTAGGGACCCCAATTTGAGAATCACTGTTATGGCCTATGTACCTGTATGTCTTGGTTATTATTCAAGTTCTTCAAGATAGATACATTAATACAAATATAACTCTTGCAGAGTGTAGTGATTGCAATCACATTGTGGAAACCATGGATATTTTCAGAACTTTTCCCCCAAACCAAAGGTTTCTACAGAACTATGCTTTCAAAGTGTCAGGTCAGCAGTTTTAAATTTAATACAAACAGGACTCAAGTCAAACTTGTTTGGCGGTTCTTGCTTGCATTCTGCAGAATTCTGGCTTGTCTTTAGATAAATAACCAATTATGTATGTTGGAGTTTTAGGAATAATATATAACAAGATAGAGGACTATGGCTAAGTAATGGCAGGTTTTAGTGGTTTGCAGATATTTCTAAATCTTAGATATTGGTGGTATGCTAAATACGAGGAAGTGGAATAGATACAGTACCAGCGTGCAAGGTGAACTGCATCTCATTGTATAACTGTGAACAGATCATGTGACTGAACACTGGTGGGGAAACAGCATTATTCTTTGCCGTCCCTAATAAGGTTCAGAATTATTAAACTGCAGCGAAATACTTATAAGACCAAAGAGAAAACACCTGAGAAAAAGTAAGGATGTGTATTTTTCACATAATGTGCTATGGAAGTTCATCAGTTGAAAAATCAAATTGTTAAAAAAACAACCTGCACATTGACTTGAGTCTTTAGCCATGGTATCTCCAGCCTGTGGTGGTCCAAATTAATTCCCAGAATTCATGTTATGGAGGAAGAGTTTTCCATTGTGCAACAATCAGCACCAGCACATTAGTGGAGTTCTTCATTTTGTTTGCAATAAATTTGGTCTAGATATCTTCTGAAAGCTTGGATACATGTTTCACTGCTTGTGCATGCATATAATTTTCTTTGTTAGTAGCTCCAGCATATTAGCCAGAATCCTGTAAGTCAGTGGTCCCCAACCTTTTCTGAGTCGCGGACCAGTTCGGGAGGTGGGGTCTGTTTGCGGGGGGTGGGGAA